CTTGAGAACCAACCACTCCGCATGTCAGTTCCTTAAAGAGCGATGGTCGACAGTGGTATGGGCCGGTCACGCCAGGCCAGGCCGGATGGAGCATCCCCAGACGTTGAATAGCTACTTCCATTATGAGCATCATCTGCTTTAAGGGCACACTTGCTCCAAGGAAAGAGCAATCTGGCAGTCATCTTAGACATTCAAGAGTTTTATGTATTTCTCCCTTTTTTCCATGCAAATACTAACTTTAAAGGCGATTTACTAGCCCATCTCAGCCTAATTTGCAAAGTCAACTATGAGGAAGTAGTTTGAGAGGCGTTGATTCCTTTGGTTTGGGGCAGGAATATCAATCCGACCAATGCAGACTATTTGTTTTCGCTTATTTGAAAACAGTAACATTTTCATTTGGTGGCTCTAGTGATGGAGAAATAATACTTCAGCTTTAAAGTCAACATGAGATCAAAATGTACTATTTATTGTTATAAAGTCAGAAGTGGCGGTCATCTTTTTGTGACGTTTATCCGAGTGAAACAGCTTCTCGAATTTAATGTACGTTTATTTGTCTTGTTGTGAATGATTTATTAGGTTAACGTTTAAAAAGTTTGTCTTTGTAGTCTTTTATCAAAGTATAATACTTGCTTTTGGCTCTAAAATTACTTTCCTTTTCTGATAAAATCTTATTATATAACCACCTGTCATATAAAGACCACTTTTCACAATCCAATCAATTACCAATAGATAAAATCCTTCAACAGTTTTTTTGTTGTTGTTGTTGATGATGAGAAACCCAACTTTAAATGCTGTGCATTACAGGCCACTACAGAGATAAGGGTAACATGTCCAGACTCTTGAAAAACAAAGCTCTTTATACAGTTGCTCAAAGCAAGTAGCTGTTATTCTGGGAGGCAAGACATTAGCCATTTAAATTGAGCTGCATGCATCTAACATTACTATGACCGCCCTAATAAAATTTACTTGTTTAACATGCACTAGGCTCTGTGGTCAGAAGAAGCCGCAGCTATACAAGAAGTTAAACTTCACTTCAGAGGACAAAGAAAAAATATAACAACAGTGACCACTTTAAAGGGTGGGAGAACACAAGACAGTTTCTCTGTGATTGTTAAAGGGCACTTTATAAATACGACCGTTAACACTTTCCAGCCATGCGTCACCTTAACTAAGCCTGAGCTGAGAAACCACAGACCGGAAGTCATGCAGACTGAAGTATTCTCATACAAGAACAAAATTGCTTTCTCTCACCTGCGCCGCCTTCGCCTCAACTGGAGACTATTTCCCACCACCGTCTCATACCTAAACTGTTTGAAGAAGCAGCTTAACGCTTAAAATACAAATAAGGGGATCTTTCCCACGGGTAGAGAAGTACAAGGTACCAATAATCCTCAATTCAAGTCAGGCGGTGCGTGAACAAACTGTAGAGCTGCTCTTCTCAAGAAACACGCTAGTTGACAAAGCAACGAGACCGCAGACATTGGTTTAGCATTAGAAGACCTGAATAGCTGAAGAGTCAGATCTCACTGCATGCAGAAAGCTTTTATGAGACAACTTTTCCAATGTGCATTAACTGCTGGGAACTCTAACACAATTTTACCCACAGTCTTATAAAACAATGGTGTTAGAAACCAACCAGTGTTGTAGTTGAGACCAGCTGATTCGAGTTCAGGCATAGACTTGAGTAGGTTGAGTCATTGAGTCAAACCGAGACTTAAAGAGGGTCAAGTCTGAGTCAAGACAGAGTCCAAATGACCATAAAAATACGGTCATGGAGTGGACACCAGGCGTACAACACTGTTATCAAAGGCCCCTTAAGATGCGTTTTGGTCGATCGGATCACAAGTAGACGAGGGAGACACATTCCCTTTTACACCTGGTGTTTTATTCCGTCTCTTGTCCACTTACGCCCTCTTATGTCCTGATTTCTTCAAAGGGAGGGTAAATCTATGGGCTTTATCAGATCTTTCGATCTAATGGACGAAATAAGCTTGCGCAATTTACATATGAATCAGATCGGAGACAGCGTTTTAGACCCTGTTTATACCTGTATTTAGTGTCGCCCACTTGTGATCGGATCAACCAACACACATCTTAATACATCACTCAAAATCAATTGTGACATTGGTCATGTGACTGTTTACAGCTGATCGGTTGTTTTTGCTTCCACTGGAGAACTTGAACATCTATTCTTAGATGAACTTGTGGCGTTCATGCACCTTGAGCGCTGTTGTCAAAAAAAGCAAGTTGAAGTCCCAGAAGTTCATTTGAATTGAATTACACTTAACTCAACTTTCACTGGTAGTCTCAAACTTTGGACCTCATTGTAGATGGTTTTCTGAAAACAATAGTTTTCCCATGTCATCAGGCTGTAAAACCCTTTCTGGAACATTTATTTTTAAGCATGCAACTTAAAAAGACATCTCTTCATGTCAACAGTACCGGTCGGGCCTCCACCACTTAACGCGCATGTAAATGTGACCTCGCAACCTTGGAAGAAAGCCCCCCTCTCTCAAGTATGGCACATATATTGGTAAATACTTGCATGACAATGGGCCCTCCGCACAGGGCCTGACGGCATTCTATATTAATAGAAGCGCTGTATATTATTCATAGGCAGAATTACTTTGGTGGCATGGTCCCAGGCCAAAGGGAGCTTCATGCACTTCTGCTCTCAGCCCTGACAAGAGGAATACTAACAATACCGGACATGTGCAGGGCTGCCCGAGTTTACCACTGCCCACACTATCGTCCATTATAATAATCTATTCAAGGATTAAAGGGGTTTTATCTTGAAGCCCATGAATAATGAATGTGGAATTTCAAAATTTAATTGCCCCGAATTAAATGATTCAAGATAATGTTTCTTTTATAAATTTGTAATGGGGCTTGGGGGGCAAAGAATGAAAAAAATACATTAAATAAAACCTTTTTTTCCCCCTTCAAATCAAACGAAGAATGAAAGGACAATGGACGAGTGCCCTTATGTCTCTTAATGGATTTTTTTTTTTTAAAGGCCCTCTTAAAAGACAGATAGACAGGTCAGAGATTTGAAGAAAAGCACTCCACCTTATTTGATTCAGGTGAAAAATGCACACAACTTTAATCTTGGACTTGTCATTGTAGACAGACTCTAATGGCTTTTACCTATATAGTCATACTGATGTACTAGGAGTCAGTGCAATCCACTATGTATCTTCTTTATGGCTAGATCATGTTAAAGATTTGAGAATAAGTGTATTAAAGCTGTTAGCTTTCCAAAGCTAAAAATCTATATACAGAAGCAGCAAGAACAAGTGGAAGGTTTCCATACACTCAAACATCTTTCAACGAAAACAAACCATTCTGAACAGTATATTGAACAGTGCTGTTTATGGGCAGAACACATTAAAAGTAATGCAGTTTCAATTTCAACATATGTGATTTCAAAAGGACAACAAAACACTGGGGGCATATTTCGATTAATTTCTCATCACCTCATACAAGTCACTACTGATGGATCATGTGACTGGGTAGAGATTTAACAATTAGGTTACCCAAAAAGAAAAACGGAATCATTATTTACTTAGCAGAATTATGGTTTGGTACCACATAAGGCTATTTATATGATTATATTAGTAGATCAAATGCAAAAAAAAAAAAAAAAACACATTCAACATCTCTTTGCCAGTTTATAGTGACCAAGGGGGGTAAAGCTAAAAAAAACAAAAACAAATAGCCATATGATAGCAATGTGTGAGGAAAAGATCCAAGATTATCAGTGAATAAATCACTTAAATTTCAGTCTGTTCCTTACCCAAAGCTATCATATGGCTTCAGAAGACTTGAAAACACAAGTTGCATGTATGGACCACTTTCATGAAGCTTTTTGGTGATGCGGCCCTTGGTTACCACCGCTGCAATTTTAAGCTTTAAGGTCTTAAAAAAAAAAAAAAAAATGAATAAAAACAGATTTTAAACAACATTTGGGTAAGTGAATAATGGTAGAGGTTTCATTTTTGGGTGAACTGTTCCAGTGATTAATAGTCCCCAATGTTTTGTCATTTAAAAGTTGACAGGAACAGAGTTTTGCCTTGTGGGAGGTGCACATCTGTAGATGCACAAGGTCTTCATCCTGGATCAATATTTCTACTTCAACTAAATGACATTTGTTAAGGCTTAAAGATGACCACATTAGTTGCATGACAAATGCGAGAGAACCTTGCAGTGAATACTTAAATAAAACACTTAATACTTGCATTAAAAATAAGGAGAAATAAGTAAAAAAAAAGATTTCCCAAAGATCCAGTATGAGGGAGTTAGTCCTCCGAGATCATAGTCTGTCCATTAACTGCAAGGTTGTTCATTAGCAAAGAAGAATTAAAATGAATATATATACCATACTAAAGAGTGAATGGTTTTAACACACAAACTTAGAATTACATTCACAGCAAAGAGTAACCATACAGCCACAAACAACCTCTTATCCTCTGGTTCAGGTTACAACATTCAAAACCGGAACTAATGTTCACTTTGTTGAGACTTTCAGTAACCTTACTTTTTATGTGAGTAAAGTAACTAGCGTGCATCAGTGATGATCTCTTCACGGATCAATGTCAGAACATAAGAGTAATGATTGTCAAGCGGCACTAAACGTCAAGCATGTTTCTGCCATGGTCTACAGCAACGGCTGGTTAGAGAGAAGTAAAAAATCCCTTAGTCAGCATTTTAGATGACTAAACAGAAACATCCGTGGCAACGTTAACATGTTAAAGTCTTCAATATATATTTTTTTAATTTTGTCAAGTCTGAGCAAGCCTTCATCTAGCCAGGAGGTCCATATGATTGGTTACTTCCTCACCTTGTTACCAGGAACGTTTCTGGCAGCACGAGTGAAGCTACTACAAAAGAAAAGTTGTGGCACTGATTAAAAACTCAAACGAAACAAAAAATAAAATAAAACAAAACAGGCTTTTAATAGCTTGAGCTAGCTCATACTTAAGCTGCATTTATTAAAAAACAAAACAAACAAAAAAACATTTAAACTGAAATCCTCTGCATTTTTTGTTTAGAAAGCGTTTGCTCCTATTTGTGAGTCTCTTAAACAAAAATAAATAAAGAGCAGGAACTAAGATTGCCACCGCGCTCTGGTCAGGACTATTTGCCACCATCTTTTGGTTCACCTTCAGTTCGTTTGGTACTCGGGTCGTGCTTCTCAACCTCACACCCTTTCACCACTGCATCACTTCCTGGAGGATCCTCTTGAGTACCATTGAGATCTTTACACTGCCCGTTAAGAACAGGGGATATGGAGGAGTCGAGGCAGGCAGCGTCGGGCTTGATTTCGGCCAGGTTCATCTCCTCCTGAACGTGCTCGTCTTCTTCTTCCAGCTTGCGCAGGATGATGGGGAGTTTGGCATCTGCGTTCTCCAAAAGGGCGATGTCACTTTCTTCGTAGAGCGGCAGCGGGGCTCCTTCGTCCAGCTGCTTCTGGAAGTGCAGGCGCTTGGCCTGACCGCAGGACACGGCGCGCTCCAGAATCTCTTTCTCCGCCAGCCGTAGCTTTATAGCAATGCTGGAGTGCAGGGACAGGTCAGGCTTCTCCAGCATGGAGCGATCCTCCTGATCAAGACAACAACAGAGATCTTAAAATAATGACGATATTGGCTAGCTTGACCATTATTGTTTAACAATCAGTAACAAATTAACTGCTAGATTACAAAATCAGTTATCACAAAACTTTCAGCAGTTTCCTAAATGGTAAAAAAAAACAAAAAAACAACAACAGATGGTTTCATTTTAAATTCCGATTGGATGACCTACATTCAAAGCCCTCAAGTGTAAAAAAGGGTAACTAAACCCCTGGTCAGAGCCTGACTCCACCCACTGGCAATATTTGAAAAATGCTGGAAAAGTGGGCGGAGCCCAGGGGAGATAGAGGGGATGAACGGATACTCTATCCTGATCGTTTTCAATACTCGCAATTCCAACTCCTGACTCGCTACAGTGGTTTTGACGAAACAAGATGGTTTTTATACTGCCATGGACGTGCTTACGTCAGCTCTCACCGCTACCGTCAAGAACTACCGCAAACATCCAATAGGAAAATTCAACTGCAGTAGCCACCGTTCAACCTGAAGAGGGCAGCACTCAGAGGTTTTTACACCATATATTGTAGAATTAAAACACTTTATACCCAAATGACAAAAAAGTTACTCGAATCAATGAACAGCACTAATAAAGCCCCAGTCTTACAGATCATTAATTTAAAAAAGTTGGTTTAGTGTTTAGTTACCCTTTAAAGGTGCATTGCGCAACATTTCATGTTAAAAATACCCGTTTTTCTAACCCATACATGCTTAAACAATTGCCTGATGGGCTGAATGAGCCCTTCTCTGATCACTGCGATTGCCTCTATAATCCTGTACAGTAAAATAAATAAGAGGGATTCGGGCCGGAATGTGAGACTGGGCGTGACGTCATGCGCGTTCACGCTCCCCTGGCTATGTCTGGCAGGTTTGTGTATTCGCCGCCATTCTCCGTATTAGCGAACTCAAGCGACAAAACTTCAGTCAACTTTCGACAAAAGTAGAAGATGGATTCAAAGAGACCGGCTTGTAGTTCATAAACCCCAACGCAAACTCCACGCAAGACAAAGACAGTAAGGCAGTTTCGCTTGTCGCCAGAGGGGGGCATAGTTCTGCAAAAACTCAGAGAGCTGCGCAATGCACCTTTAAGAACAAATTATTATTTTGAAAATCAAAAAAAAAATATATCCACATTTAATTCTCCATTTAATTTGAAAAGAAAAGTTGTTTGTTGTTTTTGATGTGACAGTAAAGACATTTGTATTGTTACAAAAGATTTATATTTCAAATAAATGCTGTTGGATGTGAAAAATTCAGCTTTGCCATAACACTTTTTTTAAATTATTGTATTATTTATTTTAAATTGTAATACTATTTCAAAATATTACTGTTTTCACTGTATTTTTACTGTAAAAAAAGCACCTTTGGTGAGCAAAAGTTTATATATATATATATACTAGTGGTGTAACGGTACATGTGTTCGTATTGAACCGTTTCGGTTCGAGGCTTCCGGTTCGGTACGCATACAAACCGAACGGTTTCTTGGACCATTTTTCCTGCAGACAAAATGGCGACCACCACAACGTTGCGCAACATCAAATGGCAAACGTAATGAAAGCGGAACGAAACTGCGCTACTCATTATATTGTGCTTCACGGACCGTTTATCAGTTCGGACCAGCATCATCTGTGCAGCGCGAGCCGATCTCGATCAAGCGACACTGTTACTAGACAGCGCCAAGACGAGATCCAGTAAAGAAAACATTTGAATTCGCCACTGAAGTAATAACATCGCTGCGAGATCTAGTGAGAAGCATTCACATTTCTCCGTTATTAACCGTAGATCTCTATTAGATCAAACAGCTCTGACGTGGACACCAGGAGAAATATTGTGCCGTGAATGATCTAGTAATGCTTTACGTCCACAGACCAGCAACATTCACCATGGATTTAATATAGTAACACTAAATGTAACCAGTTTGGCTGGAATAGTGAAATGCTTTCAAGTACTTCACACATCTTTTTCCAGCACTTCAAAACTCGAATATTATATAAATAAATATATGAAGAGTTCAGATGCAAAAGCCTCTAAGTGGCATTTGAAATTTTCTTCTAGAATGATCATTTTTATGAAGCTTGTATATTTAAGTTCAGTAATTTCACTCAAATGACAATTAATAGGTAATCTTCATTGCCATTTAAGTGAAATTACTGAACTTAAATATACAAGCTTGATAAAAATGATCATTCTAGAAGAAAATTTCAAATGGCTTTTGCATCTGAACTCTTCATATGTTTAAATGTTATTTTTAATGTGATTACCAAAACATTATTTGTTCATCCTTCAAAGATGACACCCATTTATAAACCTGAAAGTTTCAAGATGTAGGAAAACTCACACTTATTTAAAAAATATTTTTTCTTTTAACAAATAGGAAATTTCTCTGGCATTTCTTACTTTTTGCTGTATCGAAAATGTACCGAACCGTGACTTTAAAACCGAGGTACGTACCGAACCGTGATTTTTGTGTACCGTTACACCCCTAATATATACACACACACCGGTATATACACTCACCTAAAGGATTATTAGGAACACCTGTTGAATTTCTCATTAATGCAATTATCTAATCAACCAGTCACATGGCAGTTGCTTCAATGCATTTAGGGGTGTGGTCCTGGTCAAGACAATCTCCTGAACTCCAAACTGAATGTCAGAATGGGAAAGAAAGGTAATTTAAGCAATTTTGAGCATGGCTTGGTTGTTGGTGCCAGACGGGCCGGTCTGAGTTTTTCACAATCTGCTCAGTTACTGGGATTTTCACGCACAACCATTTCTAGGGTTTACAAAGAATGGTGTGAAAAGGGAAAAACATCCAGTATGCGGCAGTCCTGTGGGGGAAAATGCCTTGTTGATGCTAGAGGTCAGAGGAGAATGGGCCGACTGATTCAAGCTGATAGAAGAGCAACTTTGACTGAAATAACCACTCGTTACAACCGAGGTATGCAGCAAAGCATTTGTGAAGCCACAACACGCACAACCTTGAGGCGGATGGGCTACAACAGCAGAAGACTCCACCGGGTACCACTCATCTCCACTACAAATAGGAAAAAGAGGCTACAATTTGCAAGAGCTCACCAAAATTGGACAGTTGAAGACTGGAAAAATGTTGCCTGGTCTGATGAGTCAATTAGTGCCAATTGGGCATCGTTTAAATGCCACGGCCTACCTGAGCATTGTTTCTGACCATGTCCATCCCTTTATGGCCACCATGTACCCATCCTCTGATGGCTACTTCCAGCATGATAATGCACCATGTCACAAAGCTCGAATCATTTCAAATTGGTTTCTTGAACATGACAATGAGTTCACTGTACTAAAATGGCCCCCACAGTCACCAGATCTCAACCCAATAGAGCATCTTTGGGATGTGGTGGAACGGGAGCTTCGTGCCCTGGATGTGCATCCCACAAATCTCCATCAACTGCAAGATGCTATCCTATCAATATGGGCCAACATTTCTAAAGAATGCTTTCACCACCTTGTTGAATCAATGCCACGTAGAATTAAGGCAGTTCTAAAGGCGAAAGGGGGTCAAACACAGTATTAGTATGGTGTTCCTAATAATCCTTTAGGTGAGTGTATATACTGTGTATATATATATATATATATATATATATATATATATATTAAGATTTCAGTATAAGAATTTATTACACGTTATACAGCAAGGATGCATAATGAAATACATTTATAATGTTACAAAAGCTTTCCATTTTAAATCAATGCTGTTCTATTCAAAGATTACTGAAAATTTTGATACTCCACTTTAGACATTCTATTAACTATAAGTACCTTTGCAACTAAATGTCAATGACCAAACAACAGAGTATTAATAGACTGTCTGCTTAATATCTGCTAACACTTTATTTTGATGCTCCCCAACAGACAATCTACTGACTAGAAGTAACTTTGCAAGTACATGTCAGCTTATTCTACTAACCTTAACCTAACAGTCTAATATACTCCGTACTAATACTCTTATTAGAGTTAGTTGACATCTAGTTGCAAATTAATGAGAGTTAAGCTGTATTCGGACAGGACTAGTTTTCTAAACAATGTTTGTGTTACAATTCTTATCACCGGACGTCTGTGATTTCATGTACCGATTAGGACGGGAATAACATGGCTGTGTTTATTCCAGAGGTGGGAGTGGGAGTATTCTAGATGTGGGCGTTACAGGAGGTAATCTGCTGTGCTTGTGTGCATCACTTATGACATAAGCATTTAATTCATTACTTGTTGATATACCTTTCATTTATTATTAAAACCCTATTTAAATAAACTTCTCATGAATTTATAGAAGTGGATGTTTATAATAAACCCACATAAGTGAGCAGAGACATCTAGACAAGTATCTTACTAGACATTGATATTAAAATAGGCAGTTTTTGCAGTTTCCACGATTTTGCTCAATTTTTTTAATTTTATAATTTTATTTTTTCGTTGGATACCATCCATATTAAAATGAAATGAAACTATAGCACAATGTCTGAAATCGCAGACATTAGCATTCGGACTCCGGACAGGATTAGATTTGTCAGAGGCCCGTTTATTTTGCCGAAAAACAGTCGGAAATTTGCCCTGGAATTATTTACTGAAGTTGTGTTTAAAATCACAAAGTACGCTTGTGAAACACGAATTTCGTCCTCCATGTAAAACTAGTCAGTCTGAATAGGGCTTGAGTTGACATTTAGTTGCAAAATCACTTGTAGTTAGTAGAATGTCTAAAATGGACTATAGAAATAAAGTGTAACCGATATGGGATGTTTCTAGCATATGCTACCTTTGTTCCCTATGCAATTTAAACGTTTCAACAACTTAAAGATGCTTTGTAATATTTGTGTGAAAAGTTCAGATATTGTTTGACATGGTTCCAGCACCTCTGAGGTCGTCTTGTAGGTTTTGAGAAGCAGCGCAGCCCGTGTTTCCAGGAACGTCCACAGCTTGATTTCGTTCTCCCAGCTGACAGGGAATTCAGTGTTGCCCAGGGTGAAGATCTTGTTGATGGCGTGATCGCCCACCAGGTAGTCCCTGAGTTCCTCTGCAATCAGAAATGCACACCTCTCTAGTTAAGGGAGTAATCTGCTGTCCAAGTGAGCCGGCAGGTCTGATCTGTGACGATTATGTAAGGTATGATTACACGGCTGCTAACGAGATGAAAGGGCTTGCCGAACGAGTGCTTCGCACGCGCACAACGCTGAATCCTGTCACACCAGTAAAAAAAGAAGCCCCCAGCACAGGGGCCGCGCTTCGTTTAAAAATTAACATAAAAATTCTGAATAATGTATCAACTCAGACTTAAGAGGTCTTGCCAGAGGACATGGCCTTGCTTTATGGGATTTATGACAAAAACTTCTCTTACATGGATGCTAATAAATATTTCACTGACTCTGGATCAGTCCTTCCACACATCTGCCACACCGTCTTGATCAATTAAACACCTGAGGGGCACTTGTTTAGGCTTCGTTTTCCTGTCTAGTTTAGTGTAAGGATGTGGTATGGAATAAGGTTCCATGATTTATGGACCATGTATGGCCACTGGTGTACCTTAGTGCCAGGCGTGATGGTATCAGGACAAAAAAATAAAAAAATTCTTACCTTCAGTCATGCAGAAGACACGCAGGAAGGCCAGGAGCTGAGCGGATATGGGCGGCTCGCTGCAGTGCAGGGCAAAGATACTGGACCTGAGGAGGAGAAGAACCAGAGAGGGTTCAAAGCACCAACTGATTCCCCCCCACCCATCTCAAATTAAACCCCAATTAACTCCAGCGGAACGGGCAGGTGCTAATGGAAGCCTCCTGCCTGCACGAGACCGCGGCGCTGCTCCCCGTCGCATGACAACTGATTGATCTGAAGCGATGAGAGGCCACTGAACTTGATGCATTTTTAAAAACACGCTCAATCATTTATAATTTACAGTTTAATTACTGGAGCATATCTATGGCCTCTTCCTGTCTAGGGGGATGAAAAGAAGCATCTTGACTCTGACCTGAATCAAAAGGTAATTTCATATGGGCCTGTGTGGATTTTTTTAGAGACTTAAAGGATATTGATCTGTGTGACAGAAAGTTCACTGATAGTATTATGCCACAATAGAAAAGGTTTTACAGCACTGTAATTCTGTTACACTTGGATGATGATTCTTGCAGCAGTATAACTCACCACTGAGACATCTAGGATTGAATCGGATGTTCACATGCGATTCGAATACCTTACACATTACATTTACAAAAAGAGAAGAAAATGCTTTTCTAATGTATGGAGAAAAAAATAAATAATAATTACTTTACAGTAATAATTTTAATAATTGATAATTCACATTTTTAATAATTACAGTACACTGCCCTCCAGTGCTGATGTTATCTATCAGCTAATATAATAATAATAATTTCCTTTGTTTTATTATTAAAAAGTTCTCAAACTAAAACTTGATTACCAATTTTTGTAACATGTCTTTAAACTTATTCAAACTTCTTATTCACTTGGAAAACAAATCATATGATGGCAAAATTTAAAAGCATAAATGACAGACACTTTTTCCATTGTCTCTTTTGGCTCATTTTACTAAAGTTTTTTTATTTTTTGTATTTACTTTAATAAACAATTATATATATATATATATATATATATATATATATATATATATAGTATATTTATATATAATTAATAAATGCATAATTTATGCAATGCAATTATGAGGTCTGATACGTTTATATTGAATTAAAACTAGACTAAACACTAAAGTAACAATGATAAAAAAAGAAAAGCTAGTCAAAGACCTGACTCTACATAGATCATGTGTCATTTCTGTACGGGATACTCACGCAGGAATCCCTGCACGTGCCAGAACCTCTGCCTTCATGGCATACAAACGCTCGCTCTTGCTCACACCAAGCTTAATTTTCACGCGGTCGTGTGCGTTGTCCTCAAAGAAGAAACCATTGTGGATCACAAACTCTGCATTGGATCTCGTACCATAGAATATGTAGATCTGAGGGAAAACAAAGGGAAGAACTTTGTAATTCGACACATTACTAAAACAAAGCATAATTGGCACTAGGGTTGGGAATCGCAAGACATTTTCCGGTTCCGATTCCGGTTCCGCCAAACGATTCCGGTTCCCATTCAATTAAAATTATTTAAAACAACTAATAAAAACTAGTAGTAAGGGAAAAATGCACAATCCTTTTTGTGTTTATTTCTTATACTTGTCAAATGAGTTTAACAGACTGGTAATGTCAACAAATTCAACACATTATTTAGCACTTAATGCAAAAATAATTAAACAAAAATAAAAACAACATTTCTGCATTCTCGAGGAGAATTTGGGACCTCTCCTATTGCTTATTGTATCTCCAGCAGTGGAGAATACCCTCTCATAAAGACTTCACTCATTTGATTACTGGATGAATCGGCGCTCTAGCGGTTAATAAACAGAACTGCATGCGTCTTGCGGAAGAACATTATAGCCGGAGCTACTTCTCTCTGTATACGTCTATGACGAGTCACGCAGGTACTGGGATACTCTGCAGCGGTGCCGACCTGACCAGTGTAAAGTAGTCCAAGTATAAACGCTTATTACAGGCTTACCGTAGTGATTCAGGATAAGACGAAAACATGGTTTGAAAAAAGGCATTCATGATGTACTCGCTCATTATATAAATTTAGTAAATTCTGAACACAAAAGTTACGGTAAAGCTGTTTCATATTGACAACTGCTCTTTCTGGGTCAGCGACAGCGCAAACAGATTTGAATGTTCCGGTGTGAAGTTTTTGTCATTTAGTAATAAGATCGCGTGGGTGTTTGAATAGAGATCTTTTAAAGATTAATCGTGCAGCTCTAACTGTCTTTATACTCTCTCTCTCTCTCTGCGTTGATATCTGACGCAAAGCGTATAAGTAGCGCGAGGGCTTTTCAGTGCATTCATTACTATTTTAATATTCATGAACCAGAACCATTTTCGGAACCGAAACTTAGGAATTTCGCACGGTTCCGGTATTTTTCAAAAACACTACCGGTTCTGTATAAGAACCAATTCTCGGTTCCCAACCCTAATTGGCACTGCCTTTTATTTCAGAAGCGGAAGTAGACATGGACACCTGGACTCACAGGTCTATGGGAATCGATGCAATATTATACAGTGGCAATTTAGCCCTAAAAACTTCCTTCCCACACTACCGTCCTCTCAAAACACCGCTCACGTCTTCCCCTCAACAATACATCCACAAAATGTACAGATAATGCTGTGCAGAAAGTGTGTGAGAGAGAGAGAGATAAAACATTGTGCTGAAGAGAAAGAGAGGGGGCGAGAGAGAAGCACAGTTCAATCCTGTTCTCAGCCTCTCCACAGTGAGTTCCGGCCCAGTGCGAAATCAGCAGCAGGAATCAGGGATCAAACGGCTCTGTACGGAGCGACGCTCCTGAAACAGCCCCTCCTACTCCCCCCCAATGCTTGTCCGAGTCCCACACGCCGGCCCCCGCACTCTCTTTCTTCTTCCACTGGCTGTCTCTGCGAATCTTATCAAATAATTCACATTCTGGAGAGAAAGGGGGGGGGGGGGGGGGGGGGGGGGTATACCTGGCCTGTCACTGTGTGCCCTGCATATCCGCTCTCCCCATGGCTGGATCTGAATGCCTCCGCTCTGATATTACCCCCGGGCCTTCGTAATGGCTGCTGGCTGATAAATGCATCACGGAAGCACAAGCATAGAGCAATAGCGCGAGGTGAGTGCGCGAATAGAAATTGAAAATGTACAAGAGCATTAGGTGGACAGTGCATGGCACGAAATCCACCCGCTGATTTTTGTCAATCGCATAGAGAAATGTGAAACTGTCCGAGATATTTCTGCTGTAACAGACCAACGGCCATCCTAATTGTGACCTGTAAACAGTCGAGCTGCTGTGATGGTGTTGTAAGACTCACCTGTTCGCCCTCTTTGTAATCTTTGAGAGCTACGCATTCGCACCGGTCATCCTCTAGATTGTAGCCTGTCGTAATCTGGAAAAGAACAAAAAAAGCCTTGTTAACATTTGAGTCACGTCATATACCTTAGAGGTATATTAATACAAGATACTGATTCAGCTATATATGAGAGCTGTATGCATACATGCGTGTCATTTTTTTTAAGAAAAAAAAAAAACTTTTATTTAGTAAGAATGCATTCATTTGATCAAAAGTGACAGGAAAGACTTTCACATTGTTATAAAAAATAATATTTCCAAAAAATATATATATTAAGCAGCTGTTTTTAATACTGATGATAAGAAATATGAGACCACAAACTTTTGAACGGTAGTGTATAAATGATATTTCACATGACCAAATGGAGAATGAGTTTCAATAATTAAGCAGGACAATGGCACAAAAGTTCAAGGATTCCTGTTAGGCTTTTTTCATGAACTGTTCCACCTTATTTTATATGAAATATAGTCTAAGACTTTTCTGTCCACTGACATCATCAAAAGCCACTTTTCCCAGTTCAAGTGTTGGCATTGTTATTGAATTTTGTTTACACCTTTTCACTGTCCATTTGTAACCAGATCACTGGAAACAGATTTTAATATCAGGTGTAAAACAGAGCTTGAGTCAACCAAAACCTGTACCTTTCTGTTTTTGTCTTTTTCCCAACTTTAAAATGTTAAATACAAACAATTAGGAACCAAAACTACAAGGCTATTTCATGAAATATTTCTGTGGGTGGGAAAAAGATCAAATGAAACAAAACAATAAGGCAAAACCAACTAATAAAATGGCACTTACTAATGGTTATAGAGCCAACCTATTAAAATAACACACCCTAACAAATACAATCCTTCACTATTTAATCTCTCAAAATCTTCAGAAATCAACTAAATCAAATAATCTTTGAGTAAATTGTACGAAAAACACTGCTACTAAAAAAAATACAATATGTTTTTTATTAAACCTTAACCAGGGGATTACCAGAAAAACATTTCATTACACATCTTAATGACCGTGATTTTCAATGCACATGGTAATTTGAAACAAAACTTCATTTGAGGATATAAGTGCATTACAGAGTCATATGAACAGAGGCGATATATTGCTCTGTGGCAAGAGCTGCTGAGCACAATCAAAGACAAATTATCCAAATAAATATAAAAGAACCCTTGGGATGAAGGCATAATCTACCGAAAAATCGCATTAGACTTTGCTCCCGCATTCCTTAAAAGTAAATGTTTTCCCCCTGTACTTCAAGATTGCAATACAAGTGAAAGTACTGTAAACGTCCATGTCATTCAGGAATATATATAACAAATAAAAAAAAATGGCTGAACTGAATTGGTTGCAAAAACCTTCTGCTACCCAAAAATGATTTGACGGGGAGTTCTGTACTGGTTTTGCAGCAGTGCTGTGGACTCACCAGGCCGTTGGTGTGGTTGCACATGTCCCAGAGTGGGATGAGGGCCAGTGTGACCCGACTTCCGTCTGCAGTAGGAATCTGGTTTTGACGAGTCATTACAGAAGACACTGCCCACCTGATATACAAAATGGCATGGCTTCATTACAGATTCAAAACACTACTAAAATTGCTGTACATGTTAAAAGGAAATATAATGGAAAACAGGAGTCAAAGTCAAAGAGTTTAATGTAGACCTATTTTATAATTGATAACACAAAATTCCATTTCCAGTCTACCCAAAAAACATGTATGGATTGGACACTAAGCTGCAGGTAATTCAGATATATTCATGGTATTTATGTCACAACAACCTTTAGAACATTAAAATCCATGTGAACCGGACTGTTGCAACCGATTTTACTTCAGTATTGTGATGCATATCCGAGTGAAATTGAATATTGAAATGAGAGAGAAAAAAAAATGCAGACGGGGCTTGATTTTAGCACCTCCAGGTCATCTCTTGCTCGCAAGCAGACAGACAGACAGTTGGAGGTTAAGTATATTCTGCTCAAGATTATGAAGACAACTAATTTTTTCTGTGAACTAATTTTCTAGTAATGTGTGCGAACAAAGTAAATGGGGTCAATATTGATTTCATCTGGACTTTATTGCATCAACGCCCATGTTTACACACCAAGGCCTTTATTATTCTGAATAGGCAGCGCTGTTGCGCATTTCATTTGCAAAAATTAATCAAAACAGGGGTCAATTGCATACAAAATTCCTAAATGTACAAGGATATAAATTACCTTTTTAATTCTTAAGGCCAGATAGAGGGTTGAAAATGGTCATGTTAAACTAAATTACAACTGAAAGAAAATCTTCTTCCATTACGAGTGGACTTCAGATTTTTTTAAAAAAAAGAAAAAAAGTACAGAATACAGCTGCTCTAATAGCTTGCATCACGCAATATAATGACCTTAAATCTGAATTTGTCCAGAAGAGAATTTTTATTTTTTTTTTTTACTTATCTAGTCTAAATAATCTGGACATAATTTATTAAAAGGAACTTGAAGTCCACCGAAGACAACATTAACTGTGACAAGACGCTATTCCATTCTCTTCACACATTACCCAACGGAGGCACAGACTTGCATCATATTCAACAATCTAAAGATGAAAGGGGACCAATGATAAATTATTCCTTCACAGATAATTTGCTGCTAATGAAAGAACAATGAGAACAAACGCCTCATTTTTAAAGGCCATCGCGTAGCCCTACAACCAACCTACGGCTCATCTTCCTGCTCTTTTCCTTTTTTGAACCTCAGCAGGGAAGAGAAGTTCCTTTTTTTAACATAGTAGGACATTTCAACCAACCTGTAGTCGTCAAAGGTAAAAGCATCCTTCAAGGGCAGTTTGCTGGCGTTCGGATGAGTCTGGGAATTGAAGATGAAGAACACATAGAGTGGAGGGAAGGAAAAAGGAGAAAAGAGAGTCAAGGACCAGAGAGAAGGAGATATGGAGGTAGAGGGGAAAAGGGAGGAAAGAAAAGAGAGAGGGGAAAAAAAACACAAATCAGTCAGTGGAATTTCATTATGTGGCTGCCTAACAGATCCTAACAAGAGTGTAGCCAGGCAAAGAGTGTCCAGTGGTGCTATGCAAGGATCATGGTGGCATTAGCCCCCCATACATCACTGTCAACTTAATTTGTTGTGCCCAGCAGCCGTCATAAATCTGCTTCATCAATTTGTGTGACAGAGAGCCACTGGTGCCACAGAAATCTACATTTAAAGCCACAGACTCGCTCCCTCCAAGGGCTCATTTGCAGCGGGTGTCATGGAGAGGGGGAAAAAAAAAAGCTACAATCCCGAAGAAAAGGAAAAAAAGGTAGGGAGCAAAGAATGCCAGGGTCTAATTCAGCCGGCCCGTAGCACCCTCCTGAACATGCAAAATGAGCCATAAAAATAGATGTAGGTATGAAGCTGAGAGTGAAGGATATTCTTCTTTTCCCCCACAGGTACTCTCATGGCTGTGTGTGTGGTGCTTGTCCTGTGAAATGAAGCACTGTACTCCACAATGAGGTACCGTGAAAACCGTAATGGTGCTGATATGTATATAACACAGTACATCAAAAAGCTCGCGCTGGAAAATAATAATCACGACTCAGGTGATCAGTCCATCACACAGAACGAGTGATAAGATTGCCCAACAGACAGGAAACAAAACAACAAAAGAAAATGTGAACTTTGCAGATTTCAAAAGATATAAATCACTTACAGATATGAATACAAAATAACCTCCATAAAGATGTCTCTTTGACATAAAGGTTTTCATCTGCAAAAAATGTTAAATTGAATGTTACATCAACATTCAGCAAATGTTTGAAAATCTATTTTAAATGTATTTTTATCATATGTTTTTACACAAATAAGACAAATTTCTGAGCAAGGTTCATGCAGACACGTTGTGCCAAGTTTGACATCGACACGTTCGATGATTCCAAATTCATGAGTATGAATTTTATCGTTTGAATTTCTGCTTCTCGATTGTGATTCTTATCGATTCCTAATTTCGATTCCAATAAAGTAAAAAAACAAAACAAACAAACGTGTATATCACTCACATTTATCCTAAGTCGTATTGCAAAACAATTCATTGTAGCTGAATACCATGAACAAAAATCAAGATAAGAGCACTTTAAAAATACCATAACAAAAACAACTAGCCTAACTAATATAAAGTTCAAGCATTATTTAAAGACAAGTAAACACTCAGTAATTAAAATTGAACAAATGAGCAATCGCACAAATAAATACAACTGAAAAGATATGATTTAAGAGCTGCACGGATCCAATATACTGTTACACATGCGTTTTCGTCAACTGTTTACCTTCACTCAAGACATAATCAACCGTGTTTACAAGAATATTTTGACATTTTTGTGTGTATTATTTGTCCGCTCAAGTACAAATAGATGTGGTAGAGAAATCAAGTTCAGTATTGCGCACTATACAGTATGAGGCCTCTTTCTGTGCGCACGTTTTGGATGTGTGCACAGCACAGAAAACAGCATGCGAGACTTTTTACTTGAATGATTTAAAATAACCTTTTCTGTGTGAGCGCTTTGGATGTGTGCGCAGCACAGTAAAGTGTGTGGGTCTTCTTGCGCTTGAATAGTTTAAAGTTATATGAAAATGAAAACAAAGGAATCGATAAGAGGAATTAATTTTTATTTTATAACCAGCATCCGGTTCCAGGATTGGAATCCCCAGCCCTACTCATGAGTTGATAATAAGCTAATAGATTAAAACAAAGTAAAGTTAAAATAAAAGCAATCAAGATAAAACAATTACTAAACAATTTACTAGTTTACAGTATTTGTTTACCTGCAAGTCATGTAACCATTAACCAACATCAAAGAACTGGAAACATTAACTTAAAATACTTATTTGAAGTACACCCTAAGATTAGGCTAAGTCAAATGGGTTCGGCTGACCAAAAAAAAATATTAAAAAAATTGGGGAATCCCTGCTGTAACCAACCGAGACTCATCAGGCCTGAATATACAAAATTCAGTGAATAGTATCTTTAAAAGACTTCTTTTATGGTGCTTTTAAATGCAAACAATGCTTTTGTTGTATGGAAAAGAGCAGCGTGAACACTCCTTTAGTGTTCCAAAAATATCTCCTTTAGTTTTCCATGGAAGAAAGTTATACGAGTTTGGAACGATAACAAGGTGAGTAACTGAAGACAGAATTTTAATTTTTTTCAAGTAGTGTGCTCCTTCACAGATGTCTCAGAGACATACGTGCACATACTGGAAAGAGGGCGCAAACCCGAGCTGCACCATTAGGCTCGCAAACTGAGGAATAGAAGCATTACAGTAAATGCAAGCGCTCAGAAGAAGTGGATAACTTTTACCTTCCACGTCTCTCCCCATTAATCAATTTCCCTGACACTAATTGAGCCCAGTATTCCCCCTTGCTGCTCTGGAACCCACACACACTGACACAGTATGGTCACATCATATATCTGCCTGTAACTCAGTGTGTCGGCAGAGTAGAGTCCAGTTTTGAAATTGTTGTAGCCCTACAGCAGAGTGTGAGAAAATGTGCATCTGCTGTGAGTAACCAAAGGTGTAACACTCAGGTGGATGAAGGTGTACAGGTCAGCTGTGATTTCATAAAGCATGACATAATAACAGAGCAAAGCCGGACCACTTCCTTTCATTTCAACCCCAATTCTAAGAAATAGGCTGACTTGGAAGCATCGCTCACGTACGCTGACGGACAACCATTAAAAGATAAGCTCTGGGTAAAGCCGGCAAGTCAGAATTCTGTGTCCTGGGTTTGAGCCTCACATTGCAGATGAAGGGAAGTGGTTCATGTATGGATGGGGGGAAAACATATTACAGGTTTTGATGGAAGTAATAGGGCAAATCTCCAGAGAGTCAAGCAGTTCTTCGCAGACTTCTTGCAGGAAGATGTGCTGAAGCCAGCTAAACAAAGTAGAAAAAACCCCCACTTTTGAGCACCGGTAACCATTACAGGCCACCTGAAAAGGGTTAAAGCGCAGTTAATGATATTTTCAGTCCTCTGAGAGCCAAATACTCGAGTGCCCAAGTACCGTAATAGATTCAATTAAGGCAATAATTAGTTGAACAGAGTGATACACCTCGGGGGGAGGGCGAACCTGGCTGCAGAAAGGCCACGAAGAGGTCCGTCAGGAGTCCTGTGGGTAAGGATAAGGCCTCGAAGTCTGGAAAAACTTAAAATGTGCTCACGTAAAGAGAGGTAGTTTGAGAAGACACGGAGGTAGTTTTAGACGGCACGTTTGATGAGGTGTAGTTTTCGGAGATAAAGGGCAGCTGCACTGCTGCAGGTTCAGCTTGTGATGCATTAGCATCACCAGAGAGGGGTAATTCATCATGTGCCACAATGGCACCGCGGCTCAGAGAGAGACGAGGGGGGAACGGCCCTGTAAATCAATTAGAAAACAAAAGCTCCCACCACGAGTGCCTGCTCTCCTTAACGAGGACGGCGGGAAACGCGGCTAATTGGCCGGTGGCCTCCAGGAGGTCTTTCTGGAGCCGAGATCCCTAAGCACCCCATCCGCCGCCCTGGCCGGTATTAGAGAGCTTGATCAGTGCGCATGCTGAGGTTCAAAAAGGATTGATTTTTAACTTCTTACTTCTGTTACGTCGACCGTTTCATTTCTCGACTTTGTGCACTGAAATGACGCATGCCTACTTCGTCATTCAACGTCGCAAACTCTCCCTCATTTTCCAGGCTGCATCAGGAAGGTCAGACAGATATCTTCTCAGGTTTAGGGAGAGGGGGTGGGATGAGAGCATACCACTGGGAACCTGTTCATTTCTCATCAACAACGGCAGATGCAGCACACCAAGGTTACTTTGCATTCGCTGCATACCGGGGTCACCTTATGAGGTTCACCTCCCCCACACATGCACGCATCCGGCCCCAATGAGGACGGTACGGTTATCATTGGTCCCCCGCGGACACGGGAGGCGCTTGGATACTCCTCCGAGGACGCTCGGCGTTGACAACAGCCTATCCCTCTTCACACAGGCAAATATATAAAAAGCTCCTCAATTCCAGCAGGTGAAGGGCCTTGCTTTTTTCACTTCTTCTTGAGGGGGGGGGCAAGGTCCAGATAAAGCAGGCAGTGGGAGGAAGTAGAAGAAGGGGGGGCTGGGGTTGTCAGTCATGTGTGGAAGGTACATTCAGGTCAATTCAATTCAAAGCCAATGCGACAAGCTAATTTTCCAGCCCGGTCATCTGCGGCCGCCTCAGAAGGGAGGCTGACATTGACAGTAGTCATTACAGTGACACTGGCTCCCAACCTGAAGAGCCAAGAGGAGAGGAGCGGACAGGACACTCACCGAAGGGCCGGCAAAACAACCCTCCCCCTCAACTGAACATCTTTGGGGGGGAAAAAAAACCCCACAGAGCTTTATATGAGCAAAAAGAGTTGTTCATTTTACTCTGAACTCCTGTTTGAACGCACAGAGAATGAATCCTTCTGTTCATTAAAAGGTTTACTCGGCGTGATCAATGTGTAATTCATTATGCCAAGAAGTCATCTTGGCGAACAAGAAACGAACTTTACCAAGTTTGTTTCGGAGGAAGTAACATTTCATTCAGACCAGTACCCTTGGAAGCTTAACTCACTTCTGCCACCTAATGGACTACATATTCATATTGAAATCGTTCACTACATATACAAATTGATTAACTTTCGGATGACTGATGCCGACGGCTTAAAGTAGCAGATGCATATATTTCAGTTTATTGTGTTTCCTGTTATTTGTCTCAGTCGCTGTATAGAAAACAGTATAAATACACTTGATTAAAGTTATTAACGGAGAAACAATAATACAGCTCCTAATTACACTCCCACACCCTTTTATAAACTAGAAAACATTTAATAAAGAAAATGTCAACAGATTTGCAGACAAAATGACAAATACATTAACTATCTGCATGAATATTTGATGCCTTATCTTGACAGTAATGTGAAATATTAGTTTCTTTTCCCTAATTGACAGTCATCTAATGAAAGAAACAAAATGTACCAGCAAAGATTTCGAATGAAAATTGGAGAGAAGTGGGAAGAGCATATTATTGCTTCCTTAATAGCTAAGAGGAGGTCCAAGAACCCGGATAAAACTTATTGGACAGATCACAGGCCCGTTGAAATGAACTGCCATCTCAACGTGTCTGCATATTCAAGATTTGCATAACACTGAAATTACATTTTATAGTAATATCATGCACTTTTTGTAAACAAAGTGGGAAAAACAATACATCCTAGAACTTAACAGGTGACGCTACAACAGAATATTAAGCATTGATATATGACTGACTTATTTTTGTTTAGTTTCAATGAGATATCTACAATCAGAAATATTAACTTGTGAAGTGACAAGATTTTATAGGCTAAAAGTACATTTCAATTTAATTTCTTATTTCTATATAATTTCTAATTCCTTATTGTAACAGAGCAAAAAGTGTCATATCATATTTATCATTAGCATATCATTTTTTTTTCTAACACTAAAATCTAAAACTTCAGACATGCAGTTATTTAAAAAAAAAACTAATTAAAGCCCTTATGTTTTGCTTTGAACACTACTTTGAGGGATAAACATCTCCCCCTGCTGGTCAAAGATTGCCACAGCAGCCCCATCTCTGAGCCATGTCAATGGCAGCTTATCAGGGGCCCTGAAATTGGGTGCAAGAGGGCATTATAAAGCTCCTTTTACCCATCTCCAATGTGCCTTCAACAGCAGGGATCCTTTTAAAACTGAATTTCCTCACCTCAGCAGACAGCAGTGTAAAGGACAGCTATTCATGTAGCTAGAGAGTCTGAATAACTTGTCACGCTGATTGCTTAAAAAACCCTGCACTCAAACGGCTTGCAGCCCATGAGACACAGATAGGGCTATCAGTCGCCGGACTCATCAAAACTGCCATACGTACGAGTACAACTCTATGAGTTTACTGAAGAAAGTTTGTACTTTTGTGTAACTGAAATGTGAGAGTAGGTGCTTAAGTTAGGTCTGTAATAACAGCTGAAGTTATTTTTCTTTGAAAAAGTAGGTAAATATATGTAAAACAGTATGCAATAACTAATTAACCCATAAAACACTTGATCACACCACATTGCATTTGGCAATCAACAAGAGGCTTTAATTACTTAGTTTTTAAAAATGTATTCATGTTTTTTTTTTGGTAGTGCAATCAATCAGACTTGTGAGACTTACATGGATGACTTTGTAGAAGTAGGCGTACTGTCGCGCTGTGTTTTTATATTGACTGAGCACGTCCTGTATGGCTTGTGTGGCCAGCAGGTGGCGCACTTCCTCCTCTTCAAAGTACAGGGGGGTGTCATAGTCAGCAGGCAGGGTCTTGATGTAGGGCAGCCAGGGAGAGCTGGGATTGGCCCGTTCACACAGCAAGTGTAGAGCCAGGGTCACGTTGCCCATGGCCTGTAGGATCCGGTCCTGACTGTACAGCGGCCCTGTGAATAAAGGTTAAATTAGGGGTCTGTCTGCAAAGGTTTCCAGATATTAAAACAGAACTCATTCTTTTCACTTACAATTATGCTGTTCTCACGCTACCTTTTTGACGTGGACCAGTGTTTAGTTGAGCAGAAAGCTTGGTTTGTTTGAAAGTTAATTCAAGTTTATATCGGTTCACGTAAACCTGACAGTACAGTTACATTTTGAAAATGTGCCACTGTGCAGATGGTTCGGATAACTAGTGCTGTTATTGTTAACTAAAACTATTAAAAAGCATTTTCAGCAATTGACAAAGCTGAAATAAAACAACATAAATATTAGATGAAAAACTTAAAATAATTTTACAAAAAAAATAGTAAATTAATAAAACTAAAATAAATTAAAGCTAAATAAAATATGAAAATGAAAGCTAAATAAAAATATAAAAAAGACAGAAGTATATAAAAACGAAACTAAAATATACTATAAACGTATAAAGTATATAAATATACTAAAATAAAATAAAAATAAAGAATGAAAAATATAAAAATAAAAGCTAATAATATAACCGTATCCAGTATAAATATTACTAAAACAGCACTGGTTCTAAATCAAATGTTTTGTAAGTGTGAAAACAACATTAATTAACATGTACATGGTAGAAGGACAATTTTAAAAATACAACAAAATTAAGTTGTTGTTATTATTATTATAAAATAAATAACAATATAAAATAAAAAATATCATATAAAAATATCATAGCAACAAAATTGTTGCATGTTTGCCCCGCACACTTGCATGTATTACCATCTGTTGAACGAGTCAAATACATTTTCTGTGGTGATCAATAGATGCTGTTGATGGAGCTAAAAGATGTATTTAACCTGGGACATTAAGGAAATATTTATATAAATGTCTTGAGGTCTCCATATTCTATGCAAGGAGAGAAACATTTGCACGTTTCAATGTGGCATTGCATGTGATTGTCAGAGATTAAGGTAAAAGACTGACATTGCTACACTATGCGAACTCACCAAGGACAGAGTTCTTGGCGGATTCCACAGTCATCAGCATTTTTCTAGGGATCCACAGGAACAGCTCCTCAGCCTGAAATGGACAGAAATGAAAATAACATGGTCAAAAACATACATTCAAAAGCACCAATTGTTACAATGCACAGTTGAATAAAGATTTATTTTTTAAGATTTAAGATTTATCTTAAAGATTTAAGATTTATCTAGTTCTTTCCTGACACATTCAAATTCCACTACTTTAAATAGAAATCTTTGAAATATTGTGTAAAACTACATTTTGTAAATAACAATTAGCTAAAGAACCACCCGAATATTGAACCCAATCAAGTCTGGAGGTAAAATATGACCAATCATTAACCTCTATGTAACAATCAGCACTAAAAACTACAACAACAACAACAATCTACTGCCAGTGCCAATATACAGTACAAGTTGGGTTACTTGTTTCAGCCTTCAACTGAAAATATGACAGAACGGTCTGTAGCTGGCAGAAAAAGCAAGCACATCCCACATATAATTTGCAAGGGATCTAATCTCCATAATTTTCATGTGTGTGTGTGATGCTAAGAACACTATCAGCATGAAGCCTGGTTCATATTGTACCTTATTTAGGCTAAGAAGAGCCAATTTAGAGACAAACTGCCTTTCAGACCAACTTGTAAAAACAATTAATCACAAAAAGATAAATAAATAAAAGTATCCAACAAGGGAAAAACACCTGAAAAACTTATTATCAAGTCTCGACTCATCCAACTTATCATCAAACAGTCTGCGGACTAGGTGAAGAAAAACACCAACCTTAATATCTTTGGTGGCCTTCAGACCATATCCTTCGTCTGCAAAGTTGGAGATCTCAAAACCATCACAAGAAGCTCCGCATTCTGCGGCCCAGGCCATCAGCTCGGAGAAAAAGTCTTCCCTGATTCCCTCAAACGACACAGACATCCCTGAGGAAATAATACAATCCTATCACAAGCTGATTTAGCTATTGTATGTATATTGAACTTCAGCGTGAGTAGTTCTCTCTGTAATGAATTCCATTATTCAACGGCACTCTGCTGTATTATGTTGCTGTAACACCACACAAGTGAACCTAAACGGTGCTACCTATTACTCCTACTGCATAATGTGCTGTCAAACGTTTATTCTAATGGATATTTATGTGTTCTAAATGCACATCTCAGAGACTCCCACTGAGTATTTTATTAAGTAATGTGATAGAATCATTCAAGTCTTTACATCACTGTATAACTGAAGCTATTTCTGTGTTTGTTTCATCAACTTACTCCATGTAATGTGCATTTTGTTATCAAAATCATTCTATCAAATAAAGAAATGTACAACAAGCCATCTTTTATGCCAAGTTTTCTTGTACTCTTTTATGTTGCTGGTAAAGGTAGTTAAGATTCTGTCAATATTTACTTGCCCTCATCATGTCACACACACACACACATACACACACACATCAAAATATCTAATTTTGTGCTTATCCACAGAAAAAAAAAAGTAATGAGAGCAAGTAAATGACAGAATTAATTTCATATCTGGGTAAACTATTAAAGGGATACTCCACCCAAAAATGAAAATTCTGTCATCATTTACTCACCCTCAAGTTGTTGCAAACCTGTATGAGTTTCTTTCTTCTGCTGAACACAAAGGAAGATATTTTGAAGAACGATTGGAACCAAACAGTTGTTTGGCACCATTGACTTCCATAGTAGAAAAAAAAAAAATACTATGGAAGTCAATGGTGCCAAAGTTCCAATCGTTCTTCAAAATATCTTCCTTTGTGTTCAGCAGAAGAAAGAAACTCATACAAGTTTGCAACAACTTGAGGGTGAGTAAATGATGACAGAATTTTCATTTTTGGGCGGAGTATCCCTTTAAAAAGTTCCACACCATCTGTTTTTCCGTCCTCTTTATTCTTGCAACTAGGACGGTTAAATACTTAACAATAGCCAATGGCAAATCAAAACCACGCTACATAAAAGCTCGAGACCTGCTAAATCATATTCATGTGAAGCAATAATGTACCTTTCTGTTTCTTACGGATCTTCTCCACCAGAGCTCGGATCTGAACATATTCCTCCCACTCTTTCCCAGGAGAGGGAGCAGCACTGCTGCACTCTGAATAGGGGAAAGAAAAGAAAACGTTCCAATAATTGATATTTATCAATCACTTATGCTTGGATCAACAGAATCCAAAAGGGGACTGTGGGGAAACAGCTTAGTGCTCCAGTTCCTAGAGTAACCAAATGGCGGCCGATTCATTTTCTCTTCCGGCTGCTTTTGTAAAATGTTGCGGCATCTATCGGCCTGGTAAAAGACAAGAGCACAGACCGCAAATTGTCTTTGATATAAACAAATGCATGTCCTTCCCAAAATGACATGCTATTTTGGAGAGATGTTTGATGTACGGTTTAAAAATGTAGATTGATGACCAAATGATTCCATGAAGTACCACCGTACCCTTGAGCACAACCTCAGGAGGCTCCATTTGTATAAAAGCTTCAGATGATTAAATACTAAATAGATTTACTTATACATTAGGAAATCGTTCACACGGAAGAGGTTTAATTTTCAGGATCCAGTTGCATCTTTAACACCACAACAAATATTATAACAATCATGCAATGCGATTATGGAATAAATCACAAAAGCCTTTTGTGTACCAGCGATGCACACATCCATGAGAGAAAATCATTGCAACAGTATTTCAGAGCAGGAATGCAGCCATAAAGAATGCTTTTATACTCACTCTGCAGAAGTTCAGAAATTAAATTCATCATCTCTTTTGGAGAAACCGCAGCTGTGGCACCGGTCCCCGATTTCTGGGTCTTCACTCTGCTCTTTTTGCCCATCTTGCTGGTCTGGGAGAGAGGATGGCTGCGAAAAGTGCAAGTTGAAAAAGCAAAAATAAATACTTTTAATTACAGTAAAAATAACGCTAAAATGTGACCAGGTTTCATTCTCCTTTATGCAGCCTAGAAGGCTGTACAGTAAATGAGCCAATAGTCTGAGAAGTACTGGACTCCAGTCACTCCACACTTCTTATAAATATTTAGGTGTAGTGGACTAGGTACAGTATATTTTATAACTAAATGGTAGAAACATGTGAATGTTTCACATCCAAATTATCTCTGTCTGAATCTGAAATCACTGCCAAGAACGGTAAATGGTCTCTGAGAGGGATTAAACGGATGGCTACAGCGAGCCAAAGGGCACTAAATCAGGTACTTTATTGTAAACAATGAGTATGTCCCTTACATGAATCTAATCAACATGACTGTATGTTAAATTCAATAAATGAGTCATATGGCAGCTGTTCCCATATTTCAAAAATTGTTCGGCTTCTTTACCTGTGCAAATTTGGGCAACGTGCAAAACTGCAAGAATATTTCAATGGTAAAGCATACGTTTCGAAAGCTCCACTGGTGCACTGTTTATGATTCCAATCATACATGCATAAACTGACTTTTATATAGAATGCCATTATACATAATACACAATATGCATGGCCAGTTGAACTGTCAAATTTTCAGATGAATCCAGAAGATGTCAAAGCTTAAATCTTGGATATTTCCATCAAATCACCCAAAGCCTACCATTTAAAAAATAATGAGACACACAATTGTTTTACAGAAGAGCAAATTGGATTGAAACACTTAAGAGTAAGCTACTTAAGACTGAAACCACCAGAGAAAAGGAGAAGCAATGCAATTATACTGGCTGAGAGCAAAGACATGCAACATAAAACAAACTCAACAGATCAATATTCAGAATACAAGATCAGAATATATTAAATAATAATATCAGCAGCTTGATGGCTTAAAATAACTGGCCTTGCCCAATGCATCTATTCAAACCCACCAGTAGATGATCACCTGCTTCACACTGCACACTATTACACAGCATGCCAGTTTTCATTTTAAATACTGGGTGGTCCAACCTTAACAATACATATTCATCCAGCTACCTGTCTGTTCCTGGCCCAAGAATCCTGGTTAACTGCCTACACAGACTTCATTTTAGGATATCATAAGCGCGTTTGAAACAGACAGCTTTCAAAACGTTCAACATTTTGGGCAGGGTAAGTTACTCATCGCTTCAAGCTCGCCTACGACGCCCAGATATGCTGTCTAGCTAGGCAGCTCACTAGTTTTTGAGACACATTCAATGTGTTAATAACCAGCATGCTTGTGTTTCGCAATTTGCTGAATTAGACACCATTTAAGCGTACATTTGACACGCATTTACATGCATGTGACGTATTACATGTTGTTTAATTATACACACCTCGCGCGTATTTGCAAACATCATATTATGTCACATTATATACCAAAACTACCTTCCAATTGACTGCAGGGATCCTCCTGTCAACCTGGAATTCAATCCTCTTCAGCTCGGTTTACTGGTAAAACCTAACTCTTCAGAGACAAAGCCACGCCCTAATAAGATTTCTAAAAAGCAGATTGGGCCATTGAAGCATTTATCCCGCCCTAAGCTTGTCCAGAAACGAATTTTAATTGGCTAATGTTACATACGCAACTGCATACGTGCGAAACAATTGGTTAAAGGGTAAATGTATTTCACCTCGTTAAACTACACGTATCTATTGGTTTTCGCTAAGGCGGTACTCGTTTGTCGTGACTTCACTGGTCGTGAGAGGAGTCGATCTGTTTGGTCAGGTTTACAAGGTTGGGTTGACTACACAAACAGAAAAGGCTTGTGTGTCTTGCGATTGGAAGTTTACTTTGGGTTCATAAAGTGACCATAAAAGGATAAAGTTTGCGCAACGTGATTTGCGGAGGAAAATGTCAATCACAGCAACAACATATAAAACGTAACAACTATAACATACAGTAAACATTCTGTTGTAAAAGTAAGATCATTTATATACAAAAAAAACCAAATCAATAAATCATAAAATCAATCATTTGTATAAATGATTTTTCTAGCACTTTATAATGTATAATATAATTTATTCTCTTTTTTACTTCTTACATTTATAATTTTATATAATATTTTATTTACCAATTGCGGGCATGTAGGATAACTGATTATTCCCTAACCTTGTTTAAATTACACCAAATACATGAATGTTAATTTAATTTAGGCTATTTTCTTAGAAAACAACCAAAATGTTAAACTACATTCAGACATATCACAAATTGTATTAACCAGACTGGAAGCTCATATAAAATTAATAAAGAATAAATGTAATATTTTGTTTGATCTAAGTAGTTAAAGCACCACTTTATCTCATAATGTTTTGGAAAAGACAAAAATTCAGTCACAAAATCTGTTAAGATTATGAGAGTCCATGCAACAGCAGTAAATCCCCAGTAGACGGCAGACTCTGCCTTTTATTCTGCTGTTCCTTTCATACAATACAAAAAAAGGAGAGACATTCTACAAAGAGGATTCTTTATTTCAAATCTACAAGAGGGTTATTGGCAATGCATTTAGATTTTTTTATTAGCTAAAATACAGGTCCGTTCTCAGCTACATTCAGCTTATTAAAAATATATAAACGCATGCTAGTTAAAGGTATTCTACAGTAATAGAAGTGATTTACATTGCGCTGAATTGTCCTAGAATACAACTTCATGTGTGTTTCACATACAGAGGAGCTACACAGAACAATGAATTTCATGAAAGATTCAAACATCAAATCCTCATTCACAAAAGAAGCAGTGCATTTGAAAAAAAATAGGAAGATTTCAGCATTTCAGATTCTTTTGTGCTTTAAACTTAAATACAAAAAAGTCAGTAGTTGTGTAGACTAGGTCTGCTTATAAAGGACACTTTTAATTGGATTTCAAAAATAGTTTTAATGAATATGTGTACTTCAACACCAAGTATTTAGGCATTGTGTTCACATGAAACACTTCACAGCATAACCCAGACAATATTTACTGTGTTGTGAACAGCATACACTGTTTTACTGACCCAAATTCACAACGTATCATTTTCATAAAAATATGCAATTATTTTCTTTCCTTATTCAAATGTTTGCTGCATGCGCACTTTGTTCTCATAAACATCAGGAAAAAAAAAAAGTAACACCACCAAAAGCCACCTGCTGCATCCACTGTGAACAAAACCATCCAATAAGAATGCGATTTCAGTTTAGCACTGTAAAATTGCGCTCATAAATATTCAATTTCAATGAAATTCCACACAACTTTAATACAAAAATAACTGGATCGGCTGAGTGAAAATTTCGGCAATGCTCAAAATAGCTTTGATTTAAACAAACAATACAAAATTATGGCTTATCGGGTCACTGGTTTTCAGAAAAAAAGAGCTTTTGTGTGAATGCAGCAAGCATCTTTTGAGGCAGTTCTTGTACCGGTATACACAGATAATGGTTCTGAATTATAACACAAAACTCAAATACACTTCATTTACTGAGTTCTCATTAACTTCCATTCAGACTTTGCTTTATATCATGTACAGTACGCACACAAAAAGATGTTTGCCTGAAGGTCTCATAGGCCTATAAAGCAGAATTAGACGTTTTACACAAAATTTAGCAAAAGAAGCTCATTATTAATAATGCTAACCTTATCCAGTTCTTATCAGCACATACTGTATGGTCTGATTTAATTTAGTATATGCAGAAGCAATAAGCTTGGTAAAAGGAATAATGTAAAAAAAAATTGACTGGCTGAGGTACTGTACTATTACGCCATTAAAACTGCATGTGCTAAAGTTGCATCATAAATGCTTTTAGAAATAGATGATGAAACTTCCCACTGCAAACTGGAATCATTTATGCTATTCCAGGCTGAAATGAAAACACACAACACTTACATTCATCCAGACAGTTTCTATATTGCACCTATTCAGTATCTAGAACCTGAAATTGGGTTCCAGTTCTTTTCACGCAGGACTCAATCTGTAGACCTAAAACAGATTTAACAGTACTTTCCATTATGACACCATTGAGCCATTAGGTCTTATATGCAATTAAAAGCACTACACTGGGATACATTATAAAATAATGATATTGAATGATAGACAATGATAGAAATAAAGGCATAGAAAGCAGCTTCAGTTATTCACGATTGTCAGTTTGGAATTTAAAGTACTTTACATAATATGCTGTGAAAGTTGAGCTGGCATTTATAAGTACAATTGGGGTATCCCCCACACTTTAATTAAAAGCTTATACTCATGAGCTGGCCTGCATATAGTATCTTCTGATATTTCCAGACTAGAATTTTGCCATATAAAATATATAGTATTATTTTATTGTTATTTTATGTATGTCTGGGAACCTGAGCAAATGTATTATAGTATTCATGCCTGGGGGATTTTTTTTTGAAAAAGCTTACTATCATATTTTATTTTTCCGCAACTGTCAGCGGTAAATGAGTAAAAACTGCCATTGTGGAGTAAATTAAACTTGTTATTTGTCAGTCAGTCGCTGGCAACTTTCTTAGTTTATTTGTAATGATAGTCTGTCATATTCTGATGTGATGCGAGTGGCTTAAATCAAAATAACAATACATCCATTCAAAGGTTTGGGGTCAAAAAAAATTTTTTTCTTTTTTTTTTTTTAGAAATTAATAGGCCTACTTTTATTCAGCAAGGATGCATTAAATTGATAAAAAATGACAGTAAAGACATTTATAATGTTTCAAAAGATTTCAGTAACACTTCTGAATAAGGTTTCATTAGTTAACTACTTTAGTTAACATGAACTAAGAAAGAACAATTAATTTCTACAGCATTTATTAATCTTAGTTAATGTTCATTTCAACATTTACGAATACATAATTGAAATCAAAAGTTGTATTTCTTAACATTACAAAGTTAACTAACATAAACAAACAATAAACTGTATTGTATTTAAACTAACATTAAAGATTAATAAA